TTATATATTTAATATTGAATATATATATATATATAAGTGTGTATGTTTATATATTTACCTTTCAAAATAAGCAATCAATGGATGCTTGCAATTAAGAAGAATATAAAGGTGTGCACTATGGACGTCTTCATCACTCGACCACCAAACCTCTTTCAATTTCCCACCCAATCTCCCAATTTGACAAAAGATGTCTGGAACATCGTCTTCCATATATGTCGGCACGACACCACCATCATCATATCTTCTTGGAGCTCGTTTCCTTGTACGTACTTTCGGTGCAAAGTTGTACGAAGTGAAATGTGATGTTTCTTCCGTCAAACTTCCCGCAACAATAGAACCTTCAACTCTTGCTAGGTTTTTGGCTTTTCCTTTCAAAGTTTTCATGGTCCTTTCATACTGATACATCCATCCATAATGCACGGGTCCACGAAGTAATGCCTCATACGGGAGGTGGACAACTAGGTGTTCCATGACGTCGAAAAAAGTAGGCGGGAATATTTTCTCCAAGTTGCAGATTAAGACAGGGATGTTTTCATGAAGTTGTTGGACAACTTCCACTTTAAGATTGCGGGTGCTCAGATCCCTAAAAAATGCTCCAATTCCTTATATATATATGAAAACAAAAATTATCCACATTAGTATATATATATATATATATATATATATATATATATAGAAATAAATTAATCATGTCATCGTATTATATTAATTAATTACCTGAAAGTGCTTCATGTACTTTTACCGGTAGTAGATCCGCAAACGCAAAGGGAAGTAGTCGCTGCATAAAGACATGACAATCATGACTCTTCATCCCGGAGAACTTTTGCCCTCTCTCAACACATCTTGAGAGATTTGAAACATACCCATCAGGGATCTTCACTTCTGAAGCCACCCAGTTGAACAACGCAGACTTTTTTTCTGATGACAATCTGAATATTGGAACTGGAACTTGTCCATTGCTTTTTATATGTAGCTCACTCCTTGAGCAGATATCGGGTAAGTCCAACCTTGATTTTACGTTGTCTTTCGTCTTCCCTGAGACATTCAATATAGTGTTCATGATGTTCTCAAAAAAGTTCTTCTCTATATGCATCACATCGAGGTTGTGGCGCAAAAGAAGATCTTTCCAATATGGCAATTCCCAAAATATACTCTTTTTGTGCCAATTGTGCTGAACACCATAAGAATCATGCATATTAGTGGGAACATGCCAATTCCCACCACGAGGAGCTGTTTCTAGAGCACAGTAGTAATCGATTTACGCTTCGATTTGTTCTCCAGTTAAATATGGAGGAGGAGTGTCTCTGACAACCCTTTTGTGCCTGAACAATTTCTTGTTTCTTCGGTATGAGTGGTGAATAGGAAGAAATCGACGGTGACAAGCGAACAAACTAGTCTTCCTACCATGCTTCAACTGAAACACATCTGTCATTCCATTACAATATGGACAAGCTAATCTCCCATGTGTAGTCCACCCAGACAACATACCATATGCAGGAAAGTCACTTATGGTCCACAAAAGCATCGCTCGCATCGTAAAGTTTGTTTTCGTTGAACAATCATATGTCCTCACCCCTGTTGACCACAAATCTTTCAACTCTTTTATCAGTGGTTGTAGAAANAAGCATCGCTCGCATCGTAAAGTTTGTTTTCGTTGAACAATCATATGTCCTCACCCCTGTTGACCACAAATCTTTCAACTCTTTTATCAGTGGTTGTAGAAAAACGTCGAGAGATCTTTTTGGATGTTTTGGACCAGGTATTAATATGCTCATGAATAGAAACTCTCGTCGCATGCACATCTCCGGTGGCAAGTTATACTGTGTAAGAAAGACTGGCCACAATGAATAATGTCTCCAAGACATTCCAAATGGACTAAATCCATCAGTGCATAATCCAAGATACACATTCCGGCTATTGCTAGCGAAATGTGGATGTACATTGTTAAAATGTTTCCAGGCTCTTGCATCTGATGGATGAGTCATCTCTCCATCCGTCTGAGTATACTCGGCGTGCCATCTCATCCCTCCAGCAGTCTCCTCAGATTGGTACAATCTTTTCAATCTGTCTGTGATTGGTAGGTACCACATCCTTTGGTACGGTACCCTATAACGCCCTCGACCTTGCGGTTTGAATCGTGGCTTCTTACAAAATCGACATTCTTCTAACTTCTCATCATCTCCCCAGTAAATCATGCGGTTGTCGATGCAAACGTCTATCATCTCCGAGGGCAACCCAAGACTATATACCAATTTCTGAATCTGATAATAAGATTCAGCAGACACATTGTCTTCTGGCAAATACTCTTTAAATAAGTCTGCCCATGCATCCATACAATTTTCAGGTAGATTGTGATCGGTTTTAATACTCATCATTCTAGCAGCCAACGACAATTTAGACATACCTTCTCTACAACCACTGTAAATTGGCTCATTCGCAGCATCTAACATTTCATAAAAAAATTTTGCATCTAAGTTAGGTTCTTCAACTTCATCATCATCATGAGTTACAAAGGCATCACCTACCATATCATGAACCCTATCACAATCTACCATTTGTTCCTCTTGGTGATGATAGTTATTTCCATTACGCAAATGATCAACCGATTCAACCTGAAAATTGCTATTACTACTGCTACCTTCATTCCTACAACTAGCATCATCTTCTCTATGTTGATACCAAATATAGTAATATGGCATGAAACCTTTATTTATTAAATGCTTCCAAATATTTTCACGATGACCTAATTTTGTATTGCAGCATTTCCGACAAGGACAAAACATCTTACCACTTTCCTGCGTGAGTGGTGTAGAATCTGCCTGATGCATAAACGTCTCCAATCCTTCAAGATATTCATTCGTCACCCTCCCATTATTATTATCTCTGTGTGAATACATCCACTTCCGCAACTCGAAAATATTTCTCGGACCGGACATTTTTCTGTGTTTGATCAAGCTTATAGCTGATTATTTTTTGGTGTGTTTCAAATGAATCACAATTGTAGTATTTATAGAAATTTTCGAATCTGAGCATTTACTAGGAAATTGCTAGGAAATGTAGTTACAAAACACGTTTTTGATTTAAATTCAATATTTCCTATCTAGTTCCTCCTAATTTTGTAGTAACAAATCTGTTCCTCTTAATTTCGTAGTAAGACTTTACTAAGACTTTACGAGGAAACATATTTACTACGGACTTACGAGGAAATGTACTATTGCCACGTAATTTCCTCGTAACGTGTGTTACGAGGAAATATTTTTCTCGTACGTGTACGAGGACCTTACGAGGAAATATGGTTTCCTCGTAATTTCGAAGTAAGTTCGTAGTATCTTTACGAGGAATTATTTTCCTAATAAAATTTCGTAGTAACTTCTTAGTTTTCTTGTAGTGGATACTTGGGAGGTGATATTTTATTAATTTAATATAATTGTGGTTAGGTTTTATTTTTTTTTGCTACGCCCCATTTTATTTACAGATATTTTGTATTTAATTTATATAATACATATATTATTATGTTATAGTTATGCTCCAATTGTTTTCCAAATATGCACTGTTAGAATCAAGAAAATATGTGTGCCTAATATGTTATGGTGTTTTTCAAATATTATTAAACACGTTAGGATTTTAGTCTCTTTTAGTTATCAAGTTAATATATACTCGGACATTACTTCACATACTATAATTTGATTGCTCTTATTATATATTAAAATTTGATTGTTTCTGTGTTTCTTAAAAGTATATCAAATTGTTTGTATAATTTCCATGTTTTAAATTTGTTGTTATATTATTTTCTAGTGATTTCCATTACATAAGAAATAATTGAATGACTATAGTAGATTTTAATGTACCAGCAAAGAAAATAAAATATAGATGCACCAACCCATAAAAATATAAATGAATTGTTCAATCGAAGAAAAATCACAAAAATGTGTGACATCTCATTTTTCCCCCTATAAAGGAAAAAAATCAACTTTATTAGAGTATCTCTAAAAAGACACTATATTTTAGAGTTTGCAAAACTCTATTTTTGAAGTTTCAATGTGTTCTTCTTCAAAAGTAAAATTTCAAATCTAATTTTAAAACGATTTATATTTTATTCTATGGTCCTTATATTTGTCATAATTAATATAAATTCATAATTTTTTTATAATTAACTAGCACATGTATGAAAAAACGTAATGATAATATTAATTAAAAATATTTACTCTAAAATATAAAATTGTAAATAGAAATACATGATTAAATAATAAACTACAAACAAAATATCACACTATTTCATAAAATTGTTTCCATAATGCTCCATTTTCAGTTACACAATACTTATTTGGACAATATTTCGGAGATTTTGAAGGTTTCAGAGCAAATTTACCATACTATTAATGATGTTGTAATATTTAAATACTGAAAAATCATAAATATAACATATAATTAATTGTAAGGATCAAAATGCAAATAAAAAGATGATACTTCAAATTTGAAGTTTTGAGGACTGAAACTTCAAATATGAAATTTCACTTTTCAAAATTTTAAATTTGAAGTTTTGAAATTTTTGTTTGGAGAGTAAAAAACTCTATATTTGGTGTTATAGAATGTCTTTTGGAGATGCTCTTAAATAAGATAGTTATAATAGTAATTTAGGCCTCAGATTGAACGTTTATTATGTGTTGGGTCATCAAATTTTTTTTTTGGGTAAAATGTTGGGTCATCAATTGCTAACCGCTTAATTGTTTCTTGATTATTACTAACATTCAAAGGTGTGGTTATGTTTATAAGAAAAATAATTATAATAGGAGACAAAATTGGTTTCCGAATTCTAACGCATCCTATGAAACCTTGTAGGAAAAATAATATAATTGGAACCCTGTTCGTCAGTCAAGTTTAATTAGAACATGTAAACGTAATTATTAACCAAAATCGATGCCTATCAGATTAACCAGTGATCGTCATTTATGTAGCTAATCTAATTGTATTCTCTTTTCTTGACTGGGTTTGATGCGTAGGTTGGAGAATTAGCTGGTATAGCTGTTGGAGCCACTGTCATGCTCAACATTCTTGTCGCAGGGTAAGTCTAAATCAAAGGATTTTAAGCTTCATAGTTTTCCAGAATCATTGAACCAAAATTATTTTTTTGTTAACTTTTGAACCAAAGTGTTTCTAAAAACATTTGAAAATTTTACAGGCCATCGAGTGGTGCATCAATGAATCCCGTTAGGACTCTAGGACCCTTGCATCAGGAAACTACAGGTCTCTTTGGGTTTACCTGGTAGCTCCTACACTTGGTGCCATATCTGGAGCAGCCGTGTACACAGGTGTCAAGCTTAACGATAACGTGACTGACCCGCCACGTCAGGTTAGGAGCTTCCGTCGATAAGTGAAAGACTTGTCACAAGTCTTCTGCTTGTTACTGTTATTGTATAATTCATAAAAATGTAATGATATGAAAAGCTTTGGAAGCTTGTGTGAAGAATAAAAGGCGATGTGACTACAAGTCCACGCTCTATGTATACATAGCATCGGTTTTATAATTCGGATGTGAACTCGTCTCGTCATTGTCAAATTATGTTTTGTGTGATGATACACTTTGTTTGGTGTGGGTTTCTTTGTTAGTTTGATGTTGTACGTACTTTGGTGACAAGGCTGTTTTATTAATAAGTTATATCGTGTGTGTATAAAGATAGATGGGTCAATCCATTAATCACCAATTGGTTTTAATTTGGAAGTCCATCTACCTTAATTTGGTATCAGAGCCCACGATCCACGCAGTCCAACCCGATCCTTATCGATCCAGCCCAAAGTCGGCACATCGATCCTTGCCCGAACATTCCGAGATTGATGCCAGAGAGCCATCACCTCGAGGGGCGTATTAGACACAAAGTGTCCCACATCAGAAGTTGGAAGGGATTCTTAGTGATGTATAAGATAGATGGACCTATCCATTTATCACCAATTGGTTTTAAGTTGGAAGCCCATCTACCTTAATAGTGTGTACGTTGTTTTTTTCAAAATATAGTTAAAGCATCGATTGAACAATTTCTCATGTCGATACTTTCTGAACTATCGATCTACACGCATTTCGTGAATGAAAACTAAGAATATTTTTTGGAATTAGAGGCATGTTCGTTTATTCATTCAAATGCTGGATGAAGATAAAAATTCCATTGTCTCTACGACTGGAATTGACCAGGGTTTCCTTCCCATACGATATCTTGGTCTCCCCTTAAGCACTAAGAAGTTCTCTTTGCTTTATTGTGAACCCCGCCTACAAAGATAAAGTAAAAAATGGCATTTGGACAGTAAGGCATCTATTCTTTTGTAGGAAGACGAGTAGACTACAGCTTCTAAACTCAGAGATATCCGGGATCATTAATCTCTGGTTTTCAGCAAAGAAATGCATCCAACAAATAAATATTCGTTGTGTATCTTATCTTTGCAAGGGTTCAATTGATGAAAGATACTCGCTCGTGTTGCTTGGGATGCAGTCTACAGAACCTCCTGTTTTGGAATAGGAATTCTCGCTGAAACTATTCTTGATGTTGTTCTTCAAGTCTGATTCTGTTTGGATTGTTTGGATCCATCATAATGTCACCAAAGACAAGAATATCTGGCAGTGAAGAAACAACAAACTAAAATTTGGCTATTTAAAAAGCTTCTTAGGCTCAGAGAAGATTCACTTAAATGCCTGAAAGTATATCTGGAAATGGCATCTCCTGCGTATTCTGGTTTACTCCGTGGTACCCCTAGGCCCCCTACTGTCTCTCTTTGGCTCTGCAGGACCAAGATAGACTGGCATACCTCTACTGGCCACTATAACATCGCTATGGACATGAGATCTTGGAATCTCTCTCCAGCTCAATCTCCGCAGATGGAACACGTCCATGTTTGCTTATCCTCTCTCCTTTTCCCATGATCTCCATGTTATGGAATTCTCAGTGTTGGAACAAGCATGCAGTATAAACAGTTTTGTTTCAAATCAAGTCTATGACTGTTTCTCCCTTGTTGCCAATTGTGTGGTTCAGAACATCCCCAATGTAAAACTTCATTTTTCCTGCAAAAAATGGAGTAAAATGAAATATGAAAGAAAATGCTACAATCTTACTCTACTCTATAATAGAAAACACTATTATAGACTGGAAAATGCGGTAAGGTTGGAATATTTAATTATTCAGTACTTCATTTTAGAGTGAAAAATGAAGTTAGGTTAGAGGTGCCCTCAAGAGGGATCCCGAACACAAAATTTTTTGTTGGATGTTAGCACTCAGTCATTACCCCCACAAGAGATAGACTAATCTCTTGGAGACTCGCTATGGACTCAATCTGCATGTCTTCTCTGTAATCAAGAAAATGAAATCATACAAGGCATAAAATTAGAAGAAACAATGATTATGTATAGTATAACTAGTATAACTATTACAATGAAAATAAAATATGTATGTCAAGTATATAAAAGTCTATAATTACATAATTAGGATTTTCCCCAATCAGAATATTCTTTATAACATTTATAAATTATTTTTAAGATCTACTGTATGAGAAATTTTTTTAAAAAATAATTTATAATTTTATAAAAAAATATTTGACTGGGAAAAATTCCTAATCATGTAATTATTGACATTTATAAATGATATAAACTCAGATTTACTAAAATTGAATTGTTTTCAACATAGATGAATGAATGTAAGTTGAATCATGATATTTTTTGGTTGAAGGTTTGATAACTATGTTATAGTATTGTTTGTGTGTTTTAGGGTTCACTTGTGGAATCTGAATTTTGTAAAAATAAAAAATAAATTTGACTTATATGTGTTTAGTTTTGTGTATATTAAGCACTCTATAAGCTGATTTTAGGTTTAATGAAGATTTTGTTTGTGATTTAGTTAAGGGAAATTGCCAGAAATAACACTTTCAAGATACCACTTTTCAACTTTACACTAACCAACTTTACCATTAAAACTTTAATAGTCAAAATACTATTAGAATTTAGGGTTTAGGGTTTTGGGTTTAGGATTGATAGTTTAGGGTTTAGTGTTGATTTTTTAGGGTTTAAGGTTTACTTTTTAGGGTTTAGAGTTTAGGGTTTAAGGTTTAGAATTGATATTTTAGGGTTTAGGATTGGTTTTTAGGGTTTAGGATTTACTTTTTAGGGTCTAGAGTTTATAATTGATGTTTTAGGGTTTAGGGTTTATATTTTATTTAATACTTACTTTATATATATATTTAAAGAACAAGGATATAAGAATCTTTTATCATTAAATAAAATGTGTATTTTTGAAAGGGAGAATTTCAATTATACCACTTTGGTGGCACCACTTTTCATGTTTACCATCAACAAAGGAACATTTTAAAAAATACACATTTTATTAAAGGATAAAAGACTCTTATATCCTTGTTCTTTATATATATACATAAAATAAATATTAAATAAAATATTAACCCTAAACCCTAAAACATCAATTCTAAACTGTAGACCCTAAAAAGTAAACCCTAAACCCTAAAAATCAACCCTAAACCCTAAACTATCAATTTTAAACCTTAAACCCTAAATTCTAAACCCTAAAAAGTAAACCCTAAACCCTAAAAATCAACACTAAACCCTAAACTATCAATCCTAAACCCAAAACCCTAAATCCTAAATTCTAATAGTATTTTGACTACTAAAATTTTAGTGGTAAAGTTGGTTAGTGTAAAGTTGAAAAGTGGTATCTTGAAAGTGTTATTTCTGGCAATTTCCTCTTTTGAAAATGTTCATTTGTTGATGGTAAACATGAAAAGTGGTACCACCAAAGTGGTATAATTGAAATTCTCTCTTTAGTTAAATATTTGATTTTGGAGTTTGGAAGATTTCCCAAAATCAAATATTGCACTAGAAGACTAACTTGAAGACTTAACAACAGAGTCTACCATTTCCCGCTTATTTCTTAAAAGAATTTTGGTTTCTCGCTAAGTCTTCAGAGAAGTCTTCCAGAAAGTCTTCCAAACTATTCTCAAAGTCTGTCACATGTATTAGAACTTATAAATAATTTATAAATTTTATAAAAAATATTTTGATAAATAAACAAAATCTTAATCATGTAATTATAGACATTCCTAAATGATGTAAATTTAGGTTTACTAAAATTGAATTGTTTTCAACATAGATGAGTGAATTAAATCAAGTCATGGTCGATATTCTTAGGTTTAGGGTTTGGTAACATATGTTATAGTATGGTTTGTATTCTTTGGTTAGATTTTGGAATCTTAATTTTTATTTAAAAAAAAATTAAAGTTGACTTATATGTGTTTAGTTTTGTGTATATTAAACACTTTAAAATTTGATTTTAAGTTTAGTCAAGTGTTTGTCTTATATGTATTTAGTTTTGTGTATATTAGACACTTTAAAATGTGGTTTTAAGTTTAGTAAAGTGTTTGTTGTTATTTAGTTAGTTATTTGATTTTAGGGTCTAAATAACTTATTGGAAAGTTTTCTAACAAATAATGTATTAGAAGACTTCAAGGTAAGTCTTCTAGACGAATAATAAATATAGGATCTAGAAGACTCCCTAGAAAATCTTCTATTAGAAGACTGACATGAAAGTCTTCCACACCAAAAGTATTTAACCTAATTGGAATTTTTGTCTCCATATATAAATAAATTTACACATTCTCTTTCTTGCTTTCATATGGATGTAACAAAAATTTAATGTTTCTCATTCTAAACTCTCTAACCTCTCTCCAATCTCTTTGAACTTGATAACTCTAAACCTCATATCAATTTTTATTTCTTTGAACTTGATATCACTAATTTATATTGTTTTCAGGTTTTTCATTACATGTGTCTCATCTAAAGGTAGATCTATAAATTTTGGATATGTATTTTTGTGTGTTTTATATATTAGATTTGAAAGATTTGTAGATTTTAACATAATGTGAACATTTTTTATTATCTAAGCATAAAAAATTATTTTTTTAAAAAGCTTTTCTCTATTTTGATGTCCTTTGAACGTTTTCGGATATGCATGTTTTTCAGATCTGACTCAGACTTTGGAAACTTCTTAGAAGATTTCTCGGAAAAAATCTTAGAAGACTTCTCGGAAGACTTCTCAAAAGACTTCTCGGAAGACTTCTCAAAAGACTTCTCAGAAGACTTCTCGGAAGACTTCCAAAGTCTGACTCAGATCTGAGAAGTCTTCTAATACATTTTATGTCAGAAGACTTGCATGAAAGTGACAAAAAAAAATCTCACCAAATTGGATTTTTTCTATTTATATAAAAACAATTTACACATTTTTTCTCTTCCTCTCAAATGGCTACAACAAAAATGTAATATTTCTCAATCTAAAACTCTCCAACCTATCTTTAATCTCTTTGAACTTGAAATACCAAATTTTATATCAA